TGATTTTGCTGTAAATATGGTTTCAGTGCAACCCATGTACTGACTTGTCAATAAATACAACTGATACCTTCTAACAAAAAAAAAAAAAGTAGCAGTATGCTTTTCACCTCTAACTTGTTCAGCCAGGTAGAAAAGTTGATGCTGTCTTTGCTCTAAACAACACATCCACTACATTTGTCAAGCTTCAATTTGGCTAAATTCTGGATTTAACTAGAAAATGATCAACTGTTTTATGTTTCTTTTTTATTTGTCATATTTTTGTTTTTTCGGAAGATAAAATTCAAAGATTTAGGAAGTAGCCAAAGGATTCTAAATGATGCAATATTAAAGTCAACAAGTTGCAATATTACATACCTTGAGAAGAAAATTGTTGCTGTGCTGATGGTTTCTTTGGGGTAGCAACACCAACACGCATGGGCCTGCTGGAACAATATATACCATTCATTTCAGTCATGGCCCGAGACCTCTCGCTTTCATCACCAAACCTTACAAAGCCATAGCCTTTTGAGTGGCCTGTGTTCGCATCTACTACTACTTTTGCACCTTTAACAGATGGATATCTACTAGCGAATGTGTCACGTAACATTGTGTCAGTAACATCAGAGGCCAAATCTCCTACAAAAATTGAGAAATCAGAACCAGTTTCTGCACGCTTTTCACCAGCGCTGAAGGCTGCCCAATTTAAGCGGAAAGGTTGCTCGGCATTTGGCATCATTGTGCCATTGTAGCTCTGTAGCACTTTCTCCGCTGCTGCGTGACTATTGAACTCAACAAATCCATAACGCTCTGACTGACCAGTTTGCTTGTTTCGAATAATTTTCACAGAAATAACCTGCATGATTTCATGGTCAATTACTAGCACAGAGTGCATGTCTAAATTGGAAACCAAATAATCAATTCTTGTAGACTATACTAGTATTGATGTATAAGCTTGAAAAAGATATTCTTGAGATAATTTTATTTCAATTTTTAACTACAAAAGAAAGGGTCCCCACATATTTACAGTCTAAGGCAAAGGAATTCCAAACTAAAATTAGAATTATTCAATCAAATGTGGTCGGTCCAACTTGGAGTCCAGCAGCAGCTCTAGTCTCCATTTTGAGGATGGAAAAGCATCTCTTCATCCTCGCTACTCCATTCTCTAGTGTTTTGCCATCGAACAAAACTGTAAGAATAAAGTATCTTGCTTCAAGTTTTAATATCCATAATTTTCCTCGTATATTCATTAATTATTTTCTTAGAAGAAAAGAAAATCAGTTGATTTTCTTGGCAATTACATGTAGTCGTATAATCTTCTAATCGTACAATCTTAACGGAAATTAGTGTGAAAGCTTCTTTCTTTCCATTTTTTTTTGGGGGGGAGGGGGGATAAAGTAAAATAATATTATTTATGATGGGCTTGGAATCTTCAATAATGTCATGGAGTGCGTTTTGGATTCGCCAAAAGTAGTCTAATTTTGGAGAATCCGAGACGGGTGCGGCATTGAAAGTAAAGAGTCCGTGCAACTTAGATGATGGGAAGAAAAAACCTAGAATACACGTACAAATGACATACCAAAAAATAGAGAATCTGCAAAGAAATAAGATTATTTATGGAAGACACCCACAATCTTCTATATTGGAATCTCATATGGGTGCTCCAAAAGAAATAAAGGGCATGTTATTCCTCAAAGATAGAAACCAGTTGATGTCAAAGCGTTACTAGAGATAAAGGTTCAAATAAAAAGGAAACTGAAGCATAGACGAATATTCTCCAGTTCCGTTAAGAAAAAAAGTGAGAACTTATGAAGCACCAACACTAAATCTGAAGCCGTGTACCAGAGAGAGGAGACCACATTAGCTACTCAGGCCGCAGGCTGGGCTTCTTTTTCTACGAAAGCAGGGAGTGGGAAGCCCACTTGTGTATCGCAACTAGGATTGAGACTTGTCCATTGCAGTTCTAGCTTTTGACTGCTCCACATGGCTGGCATTTTATTCTTCTAGTCACGAGAATTCTCATGAAGCTAACGACAGTTTATCTCATTCTAGTTAAATTTATCATTTCTACTAACTCAACTCCCCAAATTTGAGACCAAGGTGGATCTCTGCAATACCCTGAAGTCGAGTTAAATACTGTACTTGACCAAAAAAAATTCGTATGTAAGAATGAGAAGTTAAAGGCACATGAAAACTTTATTTCCCGTATAGTCGAATGCATTTAAAATCATTCATATTTCCCGGGTAGACCATTTTAGCTTAACAATCGCGAAATCAATAATGTTTTCCGGGAATTATCCAGGTAAAAAAAAAACTAATCAAAATCGAATAGACAAGATCCCAAAATTTCTCTTCAGAATCTCTGCATTGACTGAGATCTCAGTAAGGTCAAATCGTGTTCACAGGTAATTACTTCTTAACTATGATACTACAAGTTTCTATCGTTTCACATCTCAATTAACAGAACAAAATTGTTACTAGCCATTTAAGTCGAGACAAATACAAGTAAGGAGTAGAGCTAAATGAATATATAAATCAAACCTCGCCAGCATGAGAAAAGCATGAATGAAGATAACTCTCATCCATCCACTGTTGAAGATCACCAATCCAGATCGTTTTGTTATCTTCAGATGAGTTCTGAATCTGAGTCGGCGGCTGTTGCATCTTCTGTTGATGGTAGTAAGGCATGTATTGCTGACCATACATCATCTGTTGCTGCATAGCCATTGCTGCTGCTGGATACTGCATCGCCATCCATTGTTGCTGATACTGCTGCATCGCCACCCACTGTTGCTGCTGCTGCTGTTGTTGTTGTTGCTGCTGATTCAAATCTCCACCGTTCATTTTCCCACGCAAATTTTACTCCTTCTTCCTCTCTCTCTCAAACTCACTTTCTCTCTCTAGTTGATTCAAGGTTTTGGCAATGGAGTTATAGAGAGAGCAAAGATGATTTTTGATGACGAGAGAGAGGAAGAAGAAAAGAAGGAGACTTGTTGAGAGTCGGCTTCATATTATATAAGGAAGAGAGATTCAGATACGCTATACGGGATCTAGGGTCTCTATCTATCTCGTGTGTAACGACCTTCAATATTGATCGTCCGATTAATTTAATAATAGCCGTCGATCAATAAGTTTAGACACAAGTTGGTTGTGGGACCAGCTGATACGCGGTGGTGTATGTGGGTCCCTTCTCCTTGTCGTTGAAGTCCAAACACAAATCGGCGGTTCCTGACGGCAACCGTGTCCACTACTTGCAGCTGATGTTAAATTGACATTTAACAGTTATTATCATTTTCGATCGTTAATTACGTAAATTATGTATTAAAAGATTGATAAAAAATAGTACAAAGTTATTAAATGATAATAAATAAATATAAAATAATAAAAAAATGTGAATCTAGCAATTTGATCATGCCAAATAAGTGATTATATAAATAAAAATTTTATTGTTATCTATTAAAGTATCAATAAATTTAAACGATATGATAACATTTAAATAATAATCAATATATACACAATTTTTATAATAACAATATACAGTGATACAATTCCAACAAGGTGTAAATGTACTTTCAAATGCATTGTTGATCTAAAAACTATGGAGTACAACCTCCATCTCAAATTATACTTTGTACTTTATTTTACGCTCTTTAAAAGATAATTAAAAAAATATTTAATTATTTTATCCTTTTTTCTATTAAAATTATAATATCTTTATTACCATGTGTTATCTTCATTAATGACAATAATCTACTAAGGTAAGATGGAAACAGAAAACCGATTATACCTTAAATTTCTAAAACAATAAATGTTTTGATATAATTATTTTTAACAACCATGACAGAAAATTTAACACTAGTTAATTAAAACATCAACTAATTGGGTAGTTTTAGTGGTAAATTAATATTTCTTTGGTCTCTATTCATATATAACCATTTTAAATATTACGTTTGAAACTATGTAAATTTACAATTAATACCCATATTTCCTATTACGTTTGAAGTCAAATTTTTAAATAATAAATATTAAAAATATCTATTTTAAAAAGAAATAATATTATGAGTTTGAAATCGTGAGATTGAGATATCTTTTGCCGTTTTGAGGTTGTGTTGCATCATGGACAACATGATGTCTCGTGTTAAGCACATGCTCATCATTTCTCCCATATTGACTGACGTGTGAAGATTCTGCTAAAAATTTCCTTTCCGATTTAAACGGTGTGAATACCTTTCTATTTTTAAGACTTCTCTTTTTTTAGAAAAAAAAACTGCAACTTGGAAATAGTATACTACTCTGTCAATTGTTGACCTAGAAAACAAAAAGGATGCTGATTACATTAAGCTCATTGGATTAAATTGAGGGTTTTACCTTTTACTCCTTAAAAATTAAATAGTACCAAGTAGTAAAAACGTTACGTCAAAGGGGACCAATATTTAGTAACAACATTTTCATCTTACATGCCTATTTTTGGTATATGTTGTTTATCGTACGAAACTACAGATGCAAACAGACAACAGTTCTGTCAAATTATTGTTGTCTATAGTACTTCAGTTTGAAATTAATAGAAATCTCAAATTCAAATTCCAACAGAGATTAAGTATTAAGCGATTTTTTTCATTTGTTCTAGCCTTAGAGTTATCGGATACCTAATGTTAGTGGCAAATATTCGGTGGAAATAATTGAAGTACTAACCAAGCAAACAAATTTGAGTTCTGAGTCTAAAGGGTATAAATTATTAACAAAAATTTTAAAACGGTGTATGAATAATTATTTTAACTAAAATGGTAAAATCACTGGAATGACAGTGATTTAGTTCGCCCGAAAAAGCAAAATGGCTGCTATAGCGGCGATTTGCAAAATTTAATTTGAGTTTTTTTTTAAAAAAAAATAGGGCAGCGATTTGTATCAAAAAAAATATTTTTTTATTTTTTTAATGTTGTATCAAGTCTTTTGATATAAATCGTTGCCCTTGCAGAGATTTGCTTTTAATTTTTTTAAAAAAAAATTGAAATAACTAAAAAAATCAGATGTCAAGTAAGCCTATTTAACCTACTCAATTTACTCATTCTTTACCTTGTCTAGATCAAGTAAGCCATCCACACAATTCACTGGATTAAAATAGCAACTGCACATATAGACGGGGAATATATGATAAGATGTCAAAATTGTTAATTTCATTCTCAGTCAGCTACAAAAGCCTATTTAACCTGAAGAGCCAAACTTGATTACCTGAAACAAGAGGAACTCGGTAACAACCTGCCTTAGCCAAATCCCGCTAGCTTCTGCTTACATATAAATAATGAAAGAATAGATTTAAACAACAGAAGCTACATATACACAAGAACTGCACATTTATATTTTGTAATCTGCGTGTAGGAAGCTTTCATAAGGTGTTCCCTTGAGTGCCTTTTCAACATCACTCCAATTTTCAACTTGCAAAGACAGTGGCGCCTTGTGTATCTTCACTTGACGACTATGGAGATCCATTCTTGGAACTCTCAGGAAATCTTGCACATCATTCAGCATCTGTGTAGCAGGAAGTGGGCATAAAAAACGAGCTTCCTCACAAGAGAACTAAAATATCAGGGATATAGTAGAATGTGCAAATATCTTACAGTCTGATTTTTTATTATGTCCTCATAGAACAAGATCATATGCCGAGTGCTTTTGAAGTATTCCAAAGCATTAGCAGTCATGCCTTGTATTTGCTTTAGGTTTGCAATCAGCGTCGTTGTGTTTATTCTAGGCTTGTAACTTGCAAGAATTTCAGCCTGCAAAACATGATTGCTTAAGACAGCATGGAGACATAAGCATGCGTCTCTACATCATAGGGATCTATCAACTGACCTCCTTGGGAGAATGCACATGAGACTTGTGGGTTCCATTCAACAGCTTAGCATTCTGATCATAGGAATTTGCTAGAATTGAAACCATTCTGCGCAAAAGATTTCTTCTGAAGAGAAAAATTGCAGAAACTCCTCTCCTTTTGAAATACTCAACAATTTCCTCATGATGCTGCAATAGACCCTGTAATAACATGTAAATGTTCATGCAATCCATCATGATCCATAATTACGACAAAGGGAACCAAGCCACCAAGGCGTAAGCTGCTTACAGAGTTTATATGAGCTCCTCACAAGGTAATACATCATGTAGACCAATTTTTACATGATTTAGTTCTTCATAAGGTGACTATCTTGTAGACCAATTTCTGTAATTCCTTCCTACCTAGTTTCAATTGTACATGGGTGGATCAGTGGTAATATAAAATATGGCTTTCTGCAAAATACTATATGACCCAATGAGATCGAACTTGAAATTCTGTCTACTCACTTTTGAATCGAATATATGTTTCCTACCCTTTCTTGCAGGAATAGGAAATCTTGCATTTTACATATCCATACAATTAGTCCTTTGTTTAGACAAGTAATTATGGAAATAATACCATCTTCACTTTTTAAATGAAACAAGTGAGATGGGGGAGAAGTTAGGAGCCAAGCATTGTGTATCTGTTAACTTTTAGCGTTTTTTCTCTAATTTCCTGAAATCATAATGCGTGTGGTTCTTCAAGGATAAGGTATCGTCAAATATCCAATATGATTCCATAAAAACAAGTTTCGTTCAAGTAACTGATTCTAAGACCTATCTTACTCGTTATCCCAACACTAGTGCCCATCTACTAATACACCGTATCACAGCAGCAGTCAAGTGATAAAAAACCATCATAACTTAGCTGATTATGCAAGGTCAGAATTGCAACATTTTAACTAGATATTCAAAAACATACCTACAATATGATGAATAAGAAAAATAAGTGAATGACATTGACCCAAACCCTTCTTTTTGAGAATGATAACTTGATATTGACCCAAATTCTGGAAACAAGCATGTTTAGCATATGAACAATTATGTTGAATAAGAAAAAAGAAATCTAAGCTGATTTCCAGACAAGCTAACACAGCCAGGAAGATAAATAGTACATTGTGAAATTCCACCAACAATCCTGTAACGATTCAAAAAAAAAAGAGAATTATGTAAATAAGAATAAATAGGTATTTAAGGGCATAATTGTCCTTTCACGTTTTAAATGAATAAATAAATAAATAAATAAAACAGATTTGTATTTATTTATTTTAATGTTATTTGACTAATTCTTGAATTAGTCTCCTAATCCAATTAGCCCTCTCTCTCTCACGCTTCTAAACTCCCTCTCTCACGTTCTCCATCTTCCTCACATTATTTCTGCCAAAATATCAATAATTTTCATGCTTGAAGAACTCACAAAAAAATTTTTTAAGCAAAAGAAAAAGTAATCAAAACGTCAAGGCTAAGAGAGGTATACTTTGAAGTGAATTGGGAGTGGTTTGGAGGAGTTTTCCGGGCAGCAACATTAAAGTTTGAACATCGATTAAGGTATGAGTTTCTCTCATGGAATTCTTTCTCCAAGAGTACTTTCTTTCGGACGTTTCTTAAACTCTTGAAACTAAGGTTGTTCCCCTTCGTATGTCCTTGTCCTTAGCTCCCTAATGAATTTGTAGGATGGGTATGTTGTGCTGCTAGATTTTTGCATGAATGATGTGTTTAAATTAAATATGAGTGTGTTTATGTGCGGGAAATCGCGATAATGATCATCAGAATATGACCGGAAAAAGTTGATGTATGGGTGTGTATAGGGCAGTGTTTTAGGCATTGTTTTGGGGTATATAAGTTGTTTATTTATCATGTATTTTATGTGTGAAATGGGTGTGCAATGTGATGTTCATTTTGATGAAGCATAGTGAAGTGAATGAACCATGAAATCTCCCTAAGAACTAATGTGAAACTTGATGAAAAAGTGCAGAAAAAATAGTGGAATAAATTTCCAAAAACATAGAAATAGGTTTAAAAAGAATCTGGAAATTTTTGGATGTCAAAGAATTAAAAAAAAAAATAGAGGGGCTGTGGGGGTTCGAACCCACCACCTCACAGCCTCCTCTTCAGCGAAAATGAGAGGAAAAATAAGGGGGCTGTGGGGGTTCGAACCCACAACCTCCCTATTCAAGCGAATTTAATTAAAAATAATAATAATAGTAAATTAAAATTCTAATTAAAGTTGGAAAATTAATTCTCTTATGTAAACATTGAGATTTAATTTAGAATTTTAATTAAAAATAGAATATTAATTCTTTTATGTAAATATTGAGATTTAAATTGGAATTCTAATTAAATTAGAAAATTATTCTTTCATGTAAATGATTGAAATTTAATTTAGAATTCTAATTAAAATAGAAAATTTATTATTTCACGAAAATGTTGAGACTTAACTTAGAGTTCTAAATTTATGAATATTAGAACAAAAATCAATGAAAAATATAAATGATATCCAAATAATTCAAAATTTGGGTTCTCGTGTCCAAACCTCCGTATTGATACATAAGTCATACGTGAGTGAAATATTCAAGAATAATGTCATCTACGTAGATCAAAAATCAAAGATCTTGGCATATATACGAGATACATAAGTCTTGTAATACATAATCTTAGAAAAACAAGAATTCACTTAACGAACTATAAATGAAGCCTCATGGCTTGTATGTATAGATATATAAGTTTAACATACGTTCAAGAATAAGTGAACCTAAGATATACGTAATGAAATGAAGAATGTGGTGACAATCATGATGTGAGGTTAATGCGTATGATGAGAGCAATCTTAAATGAGCTTAAGTAAATGTTACCGATACATACTCACCAATGAGAGTGTAAGATAATGAAGAGACCAGTCTCTATGAATACTCTAATAAAAATATTGAGTTTAAAACACTTAATACTAATGATGAGATGAGAAATCATCTATTGAGCTATGATGTCTTCATACTAGAAGCAAACTTCTATGATGTATGAGTTGCATGTAATGGAACTTTATACCGAGCACCGATAGGCTAGCTATGAGTGGTGATGCCTTCTTTCGGGAAGGGCGGAGGTTCACGTAATTCTCATGAGATGAGACTGTCCGGCTTGCCGGGTATGGGTCTCCACACATCTCCTAGTCTTTGAATCTATATTGCCACTATAGGGATCTGGCGGGGTTAAATTCCCATATACGCTAGCATGTTATTTGAATCGCTTTGGCCGGTGATTCCACCTCTTTTCGGTGTGGGGAAGACACTGGATTTCATGATGCTCACATGATCTATGTCGGTTAAAGTTAAAGTTCCCAATGAATGAATGAGGCCAGCCTCAAATGAATCATATAAAGAAATGAATGATACCGAAGGTGTTAGGATAGGATAATCAAGAGGTGAGCTAGATTCAGGTAATGACATTAGGTCATTCCTGATCATTGCACAGCAAACCCGATGAAAGTCTTAAACTACATCCTAGGTATAGCTGGTGTTCGCACTGGCCTATGAATGAATTGAAATGAAATACGAATGAATGAGTGAAGCAGACTCTGTGTTTGCTAAAGAAGGCTCCCTAGTTGAGGTCCCATATGTTGAGCCCTCATTTTGGAAAGTCTTAAAGTTAAGTCTATGATAATAAGGTCTCATGGTATACGAATGAATAATATGAAAGAAAGTATGTGTTATATGTTATGTGTTATATGAATATGTTATGTTTTGTGTGCTATACGATAATTATAATGATGCATGTCACTCTCATGGCATAACTTTCCCAATCTCAATTTGGCAAGTCCACTGACTTGACTTCCAAAAATCATGTTGTTAGGAAAGAGCTATTCTTCCTCATGCATGTCCCTGGTGTGTACTTGCATATACTCATACTTAGTACAAGTGTGTACTAATTCCATACGAACATCTATTTTTAGGTGCAGGCACAGGTGGACGCTAGAGCTACAGGTTCGTTGTTGCAGCTATCCGGACATCAGTATTCATCCGGAGTTTGGTAGGTCCTCATGCTTTCGAGGATGCTACTGTTTTACATTCTAGCGTAGTTTTAGAGTTGAGCTAGCGGAACATGTTCCACTAGCGTTTCTTTCCTGTTTTGGTTCAAACTTTGTATTGGTGCTATTTTGGCCGATATACAATTAATACTTAATGAATTATTTCTTTCAGTTGCTTATCTCTTAAATGTTAGATGGTTGATGATGAACGATTACGAAATGTTAAGAATGTTCAGCAAGTATGATTAAAGAATCAAAAATTTCAAATTTTCCGCTAAAATTAATCTATGTAAAGTAAGAATGACGTAAGCAGGCTTGTCTGCGACCTCTGAGAGGTCAACGACGCCGGTCTCGTCTGGGGTCTAGATTCCGGTCGTGACAAATCCTCCCCTTTTTTAATTCCTTAATCAGATTTTTGTATCACGGCCAAAATGAAAGCTCAATTAAAACAGAAAATTCAGATGACAGAAAAATATGTGGACATTAATCATAACATGCTAATTTCACATTGCAAAAATCAAGAAGCAACCTCAACATGACAAATTATGTATAAAAGGTTTCCCACAAAACACAGCTACTCTCACTAGTAGTTATGCACTCCGATCATTTGCTTAGCAACAGACATGACAAACAGGACTTTGACACATGCTTAGCAACAGACATGACAAACAGGACTTTGAAGATAGCACTCACCTGATTAAGCATCCACTTCAGACCAACTGCAGTTGTACATTCATTCTTGGAAGCGCTGGTCAAAAAGTCTAGGTCATAGAGTTTGTCCAATGTTTCCAAAATTGTTGATGCATTACTTTTGCGGACTTTAACAGAAAAAATCTCCCCGTTAGAGCTTATATTCATATGGCTGTTTAACAATGTTTCAAACCATCCACTGCCAGACCTCTGAATGGAGAAAATCGCAAAAAACCTTACAGGATTGCAAGCACACTCAGCCCTGATACAGCAGCTTTTAGTCGATTGTTTATCCATAATGAGATACTAAAATATACAAAAAGATTGTCAATATCTCACCGGCTAAAAGTTTTTGGCTTGGGGAAGTGCATGTAAGGTTTTTCCAAAGGGTCAACATTAGTCGTCTCACATGGCCTTTCAACGACATGAACAGTCGCAAGCAGTCCACTGGAACGCGAACCAATTTGTTTCAGAAAAATTGAACATGTATATATTCCACATATCATTGCAAAGAGTAAAACCACCATTCTCAGCAGCAGTGGAGATTTCTTTGGTTGCTTTAAGATGAACGTATCCTGGAATTGAATCATAAGTTCAAATACTTAGGATCTTTTTTTCATATTAAAATTTTCCTTCAGGGTGTCAATAAAATAAATTCAGTTGCAAAGTTATTCAAACAAACAAAAAGGAATCTAGCAAGGTGTCATCAAATAGGCAAGCAAGATACAAGATAACTAAGAAATAATATGGTTTTATTGAGATTCAGGAGCTCAAAATTAGAATCTGTACAAGTCTAACACTATTTGCTCAAGCAGGAAATTCTCAAAATGAATCCAGTAAACTATGTAGTATTTCAAGGGCTTCATAACCTAGATAAGAGTAACATATATCAGCTAATAGTGCTCTTCACTAGTGCCTCTTTTATCATTCTTTGCACTAATAGCCTCTAAGGTCTGTCATAATAGTACAAACATTACAGATGATTACTATAATTTTAATAGTACAAACACTACAGTTGAGTAAAGATACAAGAAATCGAAACTAATGGTATGAACATAAGAAGTAAAAAAAGCTCAAATTTGAGCAAACACTTGCGATTGAGCAGAAACCCAGATCAAAACAGCACATACAGTTGTCAAGAAAGGCAAAAAGAAGAAACATTTAGCAAAAAAAATAAAAATAAATAAATAACGTTACATACCTTGGTGAAGTCGCAGAAATCGTCAGCCATAGCTTAAATGCTCAAAAAAGGAAGATAAAGAAAAGACATTTGGGGATACCCAGATTCAAAAAAAGGTCCCTTTTTTTCTTTGTAGCTTTATTCATTCTTATTTCTTCACCTCTTGTTCTTCGCAATACATGCAGAAACACATAATTATGTCGACAAACTAGAGCAATGATGAGCTTTATTCTCGTGAGGAACACAGTGATGATAGGGTTCTTTAGTTCAATTATCACGCTGCTCTCCTTTTTGATAGTGATTTACAGCAACTCAAACTTCTTCTTCTCTACTAATCATGTGTTGTACCATTCAAATGAAGGAAAACAAAAAAGTGATATCGTACGACACCGTTTCAGCCGGGGTTGATTTCGTCAAACACAACTTTTTTAATGCAAATTTCACCGTTTTTCATCTTCAAAAAGTTACTGTTTTACTTTTCACTTGAACTCTAAGCTACTGCAGCTCATATAAGGGCCCGTTTGGCCGCGGATAAAATTTGGGAGTGCTGTTCCGCTACATTATTTGTAAAATATATTTGCCAAGAATATCAAGTTTTTGAATACTAGAAAAAACTATTTTTTTGGATCAAGTTATAGTATTTGGAAATAACCATTAACTTTTATATTTTATAAAAGAATTCCTTAATAATCTATTATTATTACTAACTAATAAATAACTAGACTAGTTCTCTATCTATGAAGCAATACTTCTTTTGTTCCTATTTTATTTATTCGTTTTAAAAATGAGACACATATTTAGACAATATTGATTAATATGAGTAGTAAAGTTACCATTTTAAACTTATTAATTATGATTTCAAAATGTATGAAATAAAAAAAATTTAAATGAGGATATAATATGAAAAAAATTGACATTTTTTAATTTGTCAGAATGAACAAGTAAATAGAAACAATCAAAAGAGGAAATATGAACAAATAAATAAGAAACAGAGATAGGAGGAGGGGGGGGGGGGGGGGTATGAGAGAAATGAAAGCTTGTAGGTAAGACATTCTTAGAAAAATATGGAAAAACTATCTCCACCAAAAAAGTTCAAATTCTACTTTAAGCGACAAAATTGAGAAAAAAATAATTCATTGAAAAACTTGAGCCAAACACTAATTTTACAAGAAACTTGACCAAGATATTACTTATCAAAAGTATTTGAAAACTTGGGATCAAACGCTAATTTAATATCATAACTTGTATTATAATATTATTTTCTCTCTTTCTTTAAGTTGTATTTTGTGCAAGAGTAATTCTTGGATTTTTAAGTTCTATTTTATCCTCAATGGTTTTTGATCAAATTTTAATTTAATACAAAAATAAATTGAAACATCATTTGTAGTATATTACTCTTTAATATAATCTTTCTATATAATATATACGAAGCTTCTCACATTGAGTATGCATTTTCTAATATAAATATTAAAGTAATAAATATCAACTACAACTTTTAGTGATTAAAAGTAATGATTATATTTGATAAAAATAATTTAAAAGTTGCTAAGAGTAATAGTAGTATAAAATGATTTGATAGATACAAATAATTATTTTTTTTTGTAAAATATTTCAATATTTATATTCCAAAAGTTTAGGAAGTTGTGCTCTGCTGATGCTGTGGCCCTTTGGTTCAGTGCTATTGACCCATGCTTCAGCCTTCAATGCTGTTTTTATTCATATGCATTGGTTGATTATTAAATTTTGAGATATGGTTGGAAAAATATAGTGGTAATAAATATTATGGCAATTCACCATAATTTCTACGTAAAAATATGGTAAATTCAACGATTTGTTCTTGCTATAATTTGATAATAAATTATTTAAAAATAATTTTAGTTCTGATATTTAATCTTCTATTGTCTGTTTCGATATTTTTAAGTATTAAATTCAATTCAATTTTCAAAAATCAATACATTTCTTTGTCGTTTAATAAACAATTCAATTAAAATTCAACAATGATGTTATTCAAGTTTGTTCAACTGAAATCAATCCAAAATAATTACAAATAAATAATGAATCTTCTATTTCTATTGCACATATGAAAAATAAATTATACATAAACAATATTCTCATTTGTCCCAATTCATATGGTATAATTTGAAAATTCCAAAAAGTAAACATGGTAAGTTGGATGATGAATTTGAGCGTGAAATATTCAGAAGAAGTTTAAAAATGTGGTATATTTTAAATTAGTTAAGAAATATAATAAATCAAAAACATTTAAAAATGTATGAAAAAAGTATAATAAAAATATATTTATTTGATTTTCGAAATTCTAAAAATATTATATAAATTAAAACGGAGAAAGAGTTAGCTAAGTCTGTGTTAATTCACCTCTGTTTGGTTGCCAAACTCATTATTTTATGCCTCCGCAAATCATCAAAGTTTTGTGCCGCTAATTAAAAGTAGTGAAAGATTTATTTAATACAAAATTAATAGCCTTGCTGTTTCTGCTTAAATTAATTTAGGTTTAGAACTTTAATTAGGTTGCTAGTTTGGCAGCTGTTTAATTATTTTTTCAGATTTATATCTGTTATATTTTAACTTGATACATGTCTATTTTTTTAAAAAAAGGGACAACTGATTTCCTTATATGAATTTAAATAATTCTCACTTATAGATTATTTTTTAATATTGAATTAGATATTATGATTTGATAGTATGTCATAAAAAGCATCCATTATATAATTTTAGCTGTTACCATTTCTTTCTTCTCTTTTTCTTTTTTGACTAAACATCTAGAAGATTTAATCCTGATTTGAATGAAAAATTAATATGCTCAAATAGACTAAATTGACAGTATGACAGCTATGTAAAAACAGAAAGATTATTCAATGCTATTCTTTGCAATTTATAGCCAGTAAATTAAGGGAGTTAATTTTGAACCCAAAATTGTTTGCATTTTTCAAATCTAGTTTCTTGTTTTGCTTTTTTAACTCATAATTTCTTTTATATTAATCTAATGCAGTTATTATATTTTCTTTTTATTTGAATTTTTTAGGAGTTAAATAATAAATACTTTTTTATTATTATTACTTTTCATACGTTAATTATTGAATATTTACATATTTGAACTCATATTTGAGAAGTAATTTCATTAGATAGTCATTCATGTGTAAAAAATTATCTAGAAATATCATTTATGTTTGTTTAATTTAAAATTATAATGTTATTCAATTTTATCTATTTTTTTACTAAGACGTCATGTCAAAATTTTTAACTTGTTAATAATATTTTTCTAATTCTTTAAATGTCAGCTTATTTAATATTTCTATAAAAGAACATTAATTCACCCTAGTTGATTCAATTTTATAGCAAAAGAAATTACTCCATATTTGAACCTTGATACGAAAAAATAAAAAATATATCAAATTCAAATTAATTAAAATTTAATATGAGATAAGCTTTACATTAGAAAATGAAATCGGCGATACATATAAAAGGAGAAACAGTAGTATACGTTAAAGCGTTCTTAGGTAGAAAGAAACAGTTGACGGTTCACCCACCGTAGAAATTTTCCGTTTTCCACACCCAAACCCACACCGTACGAACTGATGCCACTGCATTCACAGCTATTTATAGCTACTTCACACCATTAATAATTTTCTACCTCACTTCACAATTTTGGTGAGAATTAATCAATTTCCATGGCTTCCAACGCTAACGAAGTAGCAGTTGATATGACCCCTTTTTTCGTCCTCTACAAAAATGGCACCATCAATCGACTCCGTCCAGCAGACAATGCTCCGCTTTCGAACGATCCACAAGCTCCTGTCCGATCCAAAGATGTCGTAGTTCACCCGGAAACAGGGGTTTCCGTACGTATGTTTCTTCCCAAAATTACCGACCCCAAACAGAAAATCCCCGTCGTAATTTACATTCACGGTGGGGCTTTCTGTATGGGATCAGCTCGTTCCTCCACATTCCATAATTTCATCAGCTCTGTAGTCGAAAAGGCCAATTGCATCGCTGTTTCAGTCGAATATAGACTTGCCCCGGAAAACCCTTTTGATACTACCTACGATGATTCGTGGGCAGCATTTCAATGGGTAATTTCACATGCTAATGGAAAAGGTCCAGATTCATGGCTAAATGATCACGCTGATTTCGCTAAACTGTTTGTTGGTGGAGAAAGTGCTGGAGCAAATATTGCTAACGACGTTGTTGTTAGAGCAGGGGTAACTAATCTCGATTCGAATATCAAAATTTTGGGGCTTTATTTGGTTCATCCGTATTTCGGAATCGAAAACGATAAACTGTACAAGGCTTTGAATCCGACAAGAAATGGTGGATGCTTCGAAGATCCGAGGGTAAATCCATTGATAGATCCAAGGTTGAAATCAATGGCGTGTAAGAAAACTCTGTTTTTCGTGGCGGAGAAAGATCCTCTGAAAGAAGGGGCAATGAATTATTATGAGGGGTTGAAGAAGAGTGAGTGGAATGGAGAAATTGAGGTAATGGAGACGAAAGGAGAAGGCCATTGCTTTCATTTCTTTAATCCTAAATCGGAAAAAGCTGATGAACTTGTGAACAAGCTAGTTGATTTCTTGAAGCAACATTAGTAAGGTTATTTTACCTGAATTCTACTACTTTCTTTTTACATATATTTAAATAATGTAACATGTTGATTTTGAGTTTTAGCAATAGATTTAAGACCAATAATCCCAGAAGTAAGTTTTCTTGTAAAAGCTATTCGTATGTGATTACAAGTGGAATAGCAAGAGCTAGATCAAATGTTATCGTTATAAAAATAATTATATATATATATATATATATATATATATTTATATCTATGTGATTGTGATGAGTAGAATTTCGTTTTGAACACTCAGAATATTCGATATACTCCTTCTCAACGCTCAATTTCCTTTGGTTAATGTAACAATACACATTTCCCTTGTTACTTGTGGTTCCAAATTGAGCTATAAGCAAAATATCTAAAACCCAGAATCAGCTATGTACGTATGGTAAATATTTATTCAACTGTTGCTTCCTTCCTGTTTTTGAGAATGGTAAAATACAGAGGCGAAGCTAAGAGTATATAACATTCCTTTATTAAAAAAATATCTTGTATAGATTTTAGATAGGTGTAAAACAAAATTGATATTTGTTAGATTTTTCTTATCCTTTTGGTATATATAATTTAGATTATTTTAAAAATCACGACTCTATCTTAAATAGTACCGTAAGGTGGACCAATGAGGCAGGACCATACAAGAAAAAATCAGTTAAGGGATTAAATGTCATCAAATTACAGTCACATAAATTTAATTTCTGGTCACGCTGGTCTTTCTTTTTAATTAATACATTGGTGGAATTGTTGTTCTAAGTCTAGATTGTCAAATTGTGACCCAGCAAGTTAGGTAATTTCTTTACCAAACTTTGTACTCTCAAGTCATAAACTTGAAAACTGAGTTCCTGAATTAATTTCTCATACAATCACTCAACTTTGTTTTGTAAGGAAAAAAATCAGTTAACAAAAAGAATTTTGAACTGGAGATCTCCATGTTGGAAATCAACTCTTTGCGGGTTAATTGAGTTTAAGTTATATAAAGTAAAGTCTTTGATTTATTAGTATTTGGAGAGAACTCTCCATATTTGCAAGCCCATAAGCATGAGTGATGAGTCAGATTAAAAGAATAGTCTAAGAGAGGAAAAAAAGAAGAAGAAACAAATTAAATCTATATACTATATGTCTATATGATGTATTATTAGATAGAAAAAATAGTATATAGTCTAAGAGAAGAAAAGGAAACAAACAAAATTAAGACACTATATGATGTGTATCAGTTAGAAAGAATGGTCTAAAGATAGAAATTTAAAAGAAACAAACAGAACTAGACAATTATTATATGATGTGTAAGATAGAATAGTCTAACAGAGAAGAAGAAAAAAAACAAACACTTGTGTAAGACAAAAACTATATAGAAATAATTTCTTCCGTAACGACCACTTTGTGATTTAGATTTAATTTTTTTCTCTTCATATCTTTGAATTGCTGTAGGAAATAGGTCAAGTAGTTGGAACTTTGGTGTAACATTAATGGTGACAAAGAGAGTAGGAAATATCCTAGTAAAAGCATGATATATCCAACGACAACCTTGTACGTCCAATAACATACTCAATGTAATTTCACAAGTGATTCTAAAAAGAATACGATTTACACAATGTCAAATGTCACACCAGCAAATTCAATTTACCTTGCAATCTGCAGGTCAATGAAAGCACCACCGTGAGTCTATCACGGCACCCAATCTGCCACGCTTTAATTAACCTACCACACACACAGAGACGAAACTGTTGGTTCTCTAATTTTGGGTCATAAACAAGTTCTATAAAATCTGTTCATTAATTCACCAACTTCTATAACTCAAATGGCACTAAATTTCACTCATCTTCATTTTCCTTTATTATTTCTGATAATTCTATGTATATCTTCAACCTTTGCTGTAAAACCTAAGAATTTTTATCCATTTTTCAAAGTTGATGCTGATGGAATTATTCACAGGTATCAACACATCAAGTTAGTCCCTCCATCAAACAATCCCAAAACCGGGGTTCAATCCAAAGACGTCACAATTTTGCCCCAAAAAAACGTATCAGCGCGACTATACCTTCCTAAAATCAGTAGAAAAAACCAAAAATTTCCTCTAATTTTTTACATCCACGGAGGCGGCTTCTGTACTCAATCAGCATTTTCTTCCATATACGACAGTTACCTCCACAAGCTAACGTCTGAGGCTAATGTAATCATCGTATCAATCGATTACAGATTAGCCCCAGAGCATCTAATCCCTGCTTGTTATGATGATTCATGGGCTGTCTTGAATTGGGCTGCACAAGGAACAGAGCCCTGGCTTAAAATACACGCCAATTTTTCGCGTGTTTTCTTAGCTGGCGATAGTGCTGGTGCTAATATTGCACACAACTTAATGGTTCGGGCAAGTGAGGAAAATCATTTTGTCGCGTCATTAGTAGGAATGGCACTGATTGATCCTTATTTCGGTAATGGTAAGCCTGATTCACTATGGACGTATTTATGTCCGAAAAGTAATGGGATTAATGATCGGAGATTCAATCCGGCAGCTCATATGAGTGTGCTGTCGGAGTTGAAATGCTCAAAGATTTTAGTTTGTACTGCTGGCAAAGATTTTTTGAGAGACAGGGCATGGACTTATTATGAGACTTTGAAGAATAGTGGGTGGAAAGGTGAATTGAGGATGAAGGAGATAGAAGGGGAGGGACATGTCTTCCATTTATTTAATCAAACTTCTGAGAAAGCTAAGGTCTTGATGAAATCCATAGTCCACTTCTTAGCCTAACGCGTAAATTCAGAATTTAGAGTTAGTAAATTCAAAATGAGAATAAATTTACCCTTGTTTGTGTATCATGAAACTTAATATAATATAATGCAAGTGTATTGTCATATGTTGGGATACAAAGGTGTGGTTGTGATGGTTCATCTTAACCCGCTAAAATTTCAATCCGTTCCACCTTGCATACCTATTATTTCATATTCAACCAATTCGCTTTGTTTAAATTTTACCTCGTATTGCTGTAAATGATAATAAATAAAAATTATCAGTAAAATTAGTAATTATTTTTTAAAATGTATTAATTTATGTAATTTTTCCAAATAATTTTCTATCTCACTTCACCATTTTGGTGAGAATTAATCAATTTCCATGGCTTCCAACGCTAACGAAGTAGCAGTTGATATGACCCCCTTTTTTCGTCCTCTACAAAAATGGCACCATCAATCGACTCCGTCCAGCAGACAATGCTCCTGTCCGAACTTGTGTATCATGAAACGTAATAATGTCTACCCGTTCCGCTGTGCATACCAATTATTTCATATTCAATCAAACCTCTTTGCTTAAATTTTACTGTTCTTTTCAAATTACTTTGTGATAGAATCGATAATTCATGTTTTGATGATAGACAAGAAGCACAAATAATCAATAGCAAATGTACGCAGCAAAAGAAGCCAAGATCGAGTAAAATGGGCCAGCCAAGTAATCAAGAAAATAGAGTTATTTGTCAAAGCCAAAAATAATATATTAAAGGTATAAGTTGATACAAATAAGGAAAACCTTAAATATATTATTAAAGAAGGAAGTTGTATATAATAAGGATTGTACTTTAAAAGGGAATCCTTGTTTAATAATAACTTCCTTACCTTATCTGATAAGGACTGAAGGCAAAAGGAACTCTATAAGAAGAAGAAGACGCGTATGAAGAATACGAGGACTTCACGCAGAGAACAAGGGAGAATTATTCATCAAATTGAAGTCTTCAAGGTTGATAGGATTACTACGTTTAAAACATTCTGGAGTAAGAAGGTTTTATCGTGTAAAACTATTTGTCTTGTTTTTGTTCTTAATTGTAGTTTACAGTTTATTGTACAAAGGGTGGGTTTGGCTCTTTGTAGGGTTGAGTGTTAGTAAGAGTTGTAACAAAAGGTGGGTTTGGCCTTTTGGAGAGATCGATTGGAGTCAAACCTTTTGATTGTTGAGTTGTAATCACAAAATCTTATAGTTGAATTAATAAAACGAGGTTTTTCCTTCCTTGAGTGAGGAAGGTTTTTAATTCAATAAGTGCTTGTGTTTCTATTTTGTCTTTACTTAAAAGCAACTTACACGAACCTGGTTCGTGTTCTGGGGTAAGGTTTCTTCACTTTGGATCATTCAAACAATAATTTCAATTTATACTCATTTCCAAACATAACCTCAATTTTCAATTACTATATTGAAACTATATCAAGTGGTCTCAACTCTCAAGTATGAGACTCTTTATAAAAAGCCGAAAGAATTATTGAAAACACTGTTACATTAGATATTAGACTTAACTCAAGTTAGGTTAAAGGGAGAAAGATTGTTCAAACTTTATAAGAAGTCCACTCATCTCATTAACCACTGATGTGAGACTTTTGTAATTCTTTGACACCCACCTCGCGCCCAGTGCTTAGCATCTGGTGTGTGGTCAATTTTGATTATGTGGTTCCCAACATCGGGTGAGACGAGTCTGCTCAGATGCCATGTTAAATTAAATCTTAAACTTAACTCATATCCCAAAAGCTAGATCAAAGGGAGGAGTATTGTATTTATCATTCTTTAACAATAGCTAATGCATGAAACTTATAATTTATATTGAGTTTAGAGATATTTTATGATTTCTCTCCTAAATAATTTCGGAAAGATGATTGACCAGTTATTGCACAGAAGCAAAGGATTTACCCGTGACCATTGAAAGGATAGAAGGTTTCCCTATTGTCAAAAAAAAAAATTGAACAAAAAGAAAAGGTTTATGGCGTTTGAGCCAATGAGGAAGATACTGCGGAGATTACAATGTGCAGTAAACCTAGTGTTTAAAAAATTAGGCATAAAGACAAAAAACGCCTAATTATAATCAATCTGACCCCTCCATTTTTTATCCCCTTAAAATCACCACATCACATCGCATTATTCCATCTCCATCGTTACTGCAAACTTTAAGCAAACAATGGATTCAAAGGAAATTGAATATCATGTCCCAATGTTTTTTAAGGTCTACAAAGATGGCAGTATCGAAAAGTATCGAAAACATGATTATGCCCCTCCTTCCGATAATCCAATCACCGGTGTTCGATCCAAAGATATAGTTGTCGTACCGGAGAACAATGTAACGGTACGCCTTTACCTTCCTAAAATCACCCAAAATAATGATCAGAAATTTCCACTCCTTGTGTATTTCCATGGGGGAGCGTTTGTGATTGAATCAGCGTTTTCTACTTACTATCATAGTTATCTCCACTCTCTAGCTGCTGAAACTAATGTACTTATCGTATCCGTCGAGTACCGATTAGCCCCTGAACACAAAATCCCTGCTTGTTATGATGATTCCTGGGCTGCCATGAAATGGGTCTCTCAGCAGGCCAATAGCGAACAGGGAACTGAACCATGGCTGAAAAATCATGCGGACTTCTCCCGAGTTTTCTTGTCAGGTAAATGTGCGGGTTGGCTTAAATTGAATTGGTTTTCGGATTAAATGTAATATCTTTTAGATCAATTAACGAGTCACGATCCAAACAGATTTTTGCTGGATTGGATCAGGATGGACAGATGACAAAGCATAACTCACCCCACCTAAATTGTTCCAATCTTCATTTTAACAGAAAATACGAAAACTAGTAGTATATTTCTCTTAAATTATTATTTTAAATCTTCATATTTGATTCCATGTGCTTGTAGTTTGGTTGCATTTTGATCAATCGATTAATTGACTTGTTTAGATCCAATTATTTATGAAGTTTATTTTCGGGTTCAAACTTGAACAGATTGAGTGAGTAGTGATTTTGTCACTTCAGGTGATAGTGCTGGAGCCAATATTGCTCACAACATGATGATGCAAGCAAGTGTAGATGAAGATAAACTTGGAGATGGCTTAAAACTTGTTGGAATGGCATTAGTTCATCCCTATTTTGGGAACAATGAGCCAGATAGAATTTGGTCCTATTGTTGCCCAGAAAATCCTAACACTGATGACCCAAGATTCAATCCAGCAGCACATCCAAGTTTGCTATCGAAGCTTGTTTGTTCCAAGATTCTGATATGCACAGGGGGAGCGGATTTTATAAGGGACAGAGGGTGGACATACTATGAGTCCCTGAAGAAATGTGGATGGAAAGGTGAAGTACAACTTAAGGAAACAGAAGGGGAAGAACATGTTTTCCATTTGGTTAACCCAACTTGTGAGAGAGCTAAGGCCTTGATGAAATGGCTAGCTGATTTCTTTCAACAGTCGAGCTGAATTCTTGCTCTATAGAATTTCAGTTGTTTCTCTTTTCTTTTTATTGATCAAATAAGTAACCGTTTGGACTTGAAATTGCGTTTGAACTCAGGAGATATCATTTTCACTATCACCGTCATTAACTGGACTCTCCATTTATGGAACATCTTGTATTTTTCTTTTTAAAAAATACTACTTATTTAGTTGATGACCAAATAACTTGAAAAAACTTCAGTACGACTCCACTATACCTCCAAAAGAAATTCTCTGTGGACAATAGAACTTGCAGTGGTCATTACGTATGGACTCTGCTCACTTAAATTGTTTGTATTTTATATATCAATGAGGACAAAAGAAGTCTCTGTCCTCTAGAAATATTAATACAGATGTTGAATTAAAATAGAATGCCGTCTTTATATTTAACTCCTATATATTATAAAATATTATACTTTTTTTTAAAATGTTCGTATTTTGTTTTAATCAATGTTGAGTGAAAACGAAAGGAGGGATTATCTGTGTTACCATTCATCATTTGCTCAATCAAATAATATAATTACTCAATAGCAAATATGATATACTTGTTGGGACCCTAACATACTAATCTATTGGACCTTTGAAAACTAATCTATAACATTGAATATATGTAATAGGAGTAAGACGTAATATAAGACATAAAAATTTTGAATATACAATTAAAAATAATAATTAAAATCCAAAGCAAAATATTTAAAAGGGAAATTAGTTGGCCCAAACTATGATCACCGTGGAGACAACTGTTCAGGCAAAGAACAAATAATTTACACGAATTATTGGTTTTAAACGTAGCTATCACAAAATTTTTGTATAGTAACACCAACCTTCTCTTGTAACTTACCTTTTAGCAATGGCGGAAATAGTACATGACTTTTTCCCATTGATGAGAGTTTACAAAGACGGTCGAATAGAAAGGCTGGCGGGCGAAGGTTTTGTCCCACCTGAATCTGATCCTGAAACTGGACTACAAATCAAAGACATTGAAATTGATCCACAAATTAACCTATCAGCAAGACTCTACCTGCCCAAAAATGTTCAGAAAATTCCCCTTTTCGTCTACTTTCATGGCGGTGGCTTTGTGATCGAATCTGCTTCTTCACCTTCCTATCACAAGCATCTAAGCACAGTAGCAGCTGAAGCAAAAGTCGTTATCGTTTCTGTTAACTACAGGTTAGCTCCTGAGTACCCGTTACCCATAGCTTATGAAGATTCATGGTTAGCTCTCAAATGGATCGCTTCACATGCTAATGGTGATGGCCATGAGCCATGGCTAAAAGAACATGCCGATTTCAGTCGGGTTTATTTTGGGGGAGATAGCGCGGGTGGTAACATCGCACACCATATAGCGATTCGGGTCGGGTTGGAAAAGTTGGATGGTGTGAAACTTGAAGGGATTTTCCTTGCCTGTCCATTTTTCTGGGGGAAGGATCCGATTGACGGTGAGGGGGAAAACTTGGGTGCCAAGGATTTCGTTGAGAAGCTATGGTTGTTTGCGTATCCGAATAGCTTGGGATTAGATGACCCGTTGATTAACCCGGAAAAGGATCCGAATTTGTCTAGCTTAGGATGTGATAAAGTAGTTGTATATGTGGCCGGAAAAGACCCTTTGAGATTCAGGGGATTTTACTATAAGGAGGCGCTGGAGAAGAGTGGTTGGCCGGGGACGGTGGAGGTTGTGGAAGTTAAAGATGAAGAGCATGTATTTCACCTGTTTGCTACAGAAACTGAAAATGCCATGAGCATGATGAAAAAATTGGTCTCTTTCCTTAATCAGTCCTAGGTCTTGTAGTCATGGAAGTGAGTAGTATTTTTATTTTATGAATAAAATGAATATAATTGATAACAACTTTCCCCTGTAAATCTTTTTCTTAATATATTTCTCAATCTTTCAATAATGCGGTCTATCGACTATCAACAATGTTTATTAGTATTTTTTTCTTCTTTACTAGTGAAGCAAGCTTGTCTAGGTAAGCAGGGGAGTTCATTTATCGACTATCAACCCTTCTTTTTGTAACTTAGCTTTGGAAATAGAACCTGACCTTTCCCACTGATTAGAGTTTACAACGATGGTCGAATCGAGAGGATGATGGGAAGATTTTATCGCACCTGGATCGGATCCTGAAACCGGAGTACAAATCAAAGACATTGAAATTGATCCACAAATTAACCTATCAGCGAGACTTTACCTGCCAAATATATAGACCCAGTTCAGAAAATTCCCCTTTTCATTTACTTTCACGGTGGCGCCTTTGTAATCGAATCTGCTTCTTTATCACAAGCATCTAAGCACGGTAGCTGCTGAAGCAAAAGTCCTCATCATCATTTAAATCTTTTTAGACATTATTTCAAAATTGAAGTGAAGCAATTGCAATCTTCTATAATATTTGAAAAGAACTTAAACATCGGACTTAATATTTTAAAATAATGGATAAGATATCTCAAAACAGGGTCTAAAACAAATATGAAAATCTTCATGGATATAATTATTAGATTACAAAATAACAATATTAAATTTTGTTAATCATGGCTACTTATCGGAGTAAGTGGTCATAATTCATATGAAGCCACTTTTTTATGATCTAGAAAATGGTTATTATTCCATGAAATCTTCCTTCTATATACTCATAACTTATTATTTCACCATCTTTTTACACTTTGTTTGGATCATTGTTATCCATTATTTCATAATGTATTCTATTGTATTGTACTCTATTGTACTGTATTGTATAGTAGATACAATGTTTGGCTAGACTGTATTGTTTGTTGTTGTTTAATAACATTTAATTGTCCGATTTGACCGTATCGTAATGTATTGTAATTTATAGATTTACTAAAATATCCTAATTATTCTAGGTCATGAGATTTGACTAGATTCAAATAATTAAGATAAAGGGTAAAATAGTATTTTAAAATATTATGTAATATATAATTGAAAAAACAAATTATGTAACAATGGTAACAAACCAAATTAGTTGTTCCATAAATAAGAGTTTTCATTATTACATAACAACAAAATTTAATAATACAATAAAATACATTTTAAGTAACAATCAAAACAAACATTGTAGATGTAATAACAATAAAATATAATGGATAACAATAATCAAAACATAGTGTTTATTGGATATGAAAAATGTTGAAAAAATTATAAGTAAAAAAAGAAGAGATCTTTTATATATATTTATTTTGAAATGAAAGTTTTTTTTTATTTTTTGGTTAAGAAACTCCATAACTTGTTTGAACAAGTTATTGCACAAATAAATGCAAATGGACATAAAAACTATCAAAATTGAAATAGAGTAAACATTTTGACCCCAAACTAGGAAAAAGAAAGGATTTGGGCGAATAATTCAATGCATATAATTAAAAGAGGCACATTTTAAAACAAAGCAAATTCTTGGTTATAAAAGTAAATGTCACAGCACTGTGTATTAGTATACCAACCTTCTTTGCAACTTAGCTTTTAGCAATGGCGGAAATAGAACATGATTTTTTCCCATTGATGAGAGTTCACAAAGATGGTCGAATAGAGAGGCTGGCGGGCGAAGTTTTTGTCCCACCTGAATCTGATCCTGAAACCGGAGTACAAATCAAAGACGTTCAAATTGATCCACAAATTAACCTATCAGCAAGACTTTACCTGCCCAAAAATGTAGACCCGGTTCAGAAAATTCCCCTTTTCGTCTACTTTCACGGCGGTGGCTTTGTTATCGAATCTGCTTTTTCACCTACCTATCACAAATATCTAAGCCTGGTAGCAGCTAAAACAAAAGTCGCCATCATCTCAGTTAACTATAGGTTAGCTCCTGAGTACCCGTTACCCATAGCTTATGAAGATTCATGGCTAGCTCTCAAATGGGTCACTTCACATGCCAATGGTGATGGTCGTGAACCATGGTTAAAAGACAATGCCGATTTCAATCGTGTCTATTTGGGCGGAGATAGCGCGGGTGGTAACATCGCACACCATATAGCCATTCGGGTCGGGTTGGAAAAGTTGGATAGAGTGAAAATTGATGGGATTTTCCTTGCCTGTCCATCTTTCTGGGGGAAGGATCCGATTGACGGTGAGGGGGAAATCGTGGGTGCCAAGGATTTCGTTGAGAAGCTATGGTTGTTTGCGAATCCGAATAGCTCGGGATTAGATGACCCGTTGATTAACCCGGAAAAGGATCCGAATCTGTCTAGATTAGGATGTGATAAAGTAGTTGTATATGTGGCCGGAAAAGATCTCTTGAGATTCAGGGGATTATACTATAAGGAGGTGTTGGAGAAGAGTGGGTGGCCGGGGACGGTGGAGGTTGTGGAAGTTAAAGATGAAGAACATGTATTTCACCTGACTGCTACAGAAACTGAAAATGCCATGGCCATGATGAAAAAATTGGTCTCTTTCCTTAATCAGTCATAGGACTTCTAATCATGGATTTGGGGTACTAATTTTATGAATAAAAAATGGATGTAATTGTTAAAGATTTTCTCATGCTAAATCTTTTTCTTAGTATATTTCTCGAATGCAGCCTATTAATTTTATCGACTTTAATAAGATTTTATTATAAAGTGATAAATATTTCTTTATTTTTACTCAAATTCTTAGTTTTGAAAGTTCATCTACGTATGCACGAGTTGTAAAAAAAAAAAAAGGCAGGAGAGTTCATTAATTTGACTCTCCATTTATGGAGCATCTTGCTACACTGCTTCAACTTGTTATTTCTAAGACAGAACAAACTACTGTAAAGTGATGACAAGGAATACCACCAACATACGTTTTTGTTTTATAAAAATATAAAATAATTGGAAAACCAAATATCGCAGTAAACTTTCTGCTATCGATCTATCTAGTTCTATCTCCGTTAAAAACTAAGTCATATATAAAATAATGACCTTGCCTTAATCGTCACGTATGAGCTACGCACATTAGAATTGTTTATTTTAAGTATATAGTGATGAATGATAGGAGAAAAAAATTATATATGAAATCGTTCTATTTTAATTTGAAATTTTTATTTTTTACATCGAATAAAGTAGAATTCAAAGTAAGGTTGAATTGATTGGAGTTCTAACATTTAAAATTATTTAGTTCTGTTATTTTGAATTTTTTATTTTAATTTTTGAGTCTTGAGGCAAGTATGACAATTAATAAGCTCGTCATTTTTTAGAAGGTATAATTTTTACCGTTTACCAAGATTGAGGCCACTCAGACTTGTGCCGTGGACTAAGTTTTACTTATTCATAGACTATTTTTCATATTTTATCTAGATTGGTACTAGAAAACATAACATATGATATTAGAAATGACAAAAGAATTAGATAAATGTGTGGATGAAAAGGTGAAGTGGAAATTAAAGAAAAAGAAGGGGAAGAACATGTTTTTCATTTGGTTAAGCTGAATTCTTGGTTGTGTAGAATTTCTTTCCTGTTTTAGTTGTTTTAAAAGTTCATTAAATATATTTAAAAAAATTATTTAATTATGAATACGCTCAATAATACGCTCAATGATTTATAAAAGTTAAATTATTTTTATTCATAAGTTTTAAATTTCGATTATATTATATCTCGAAAAGAAATTCTCACTAAATAAAAGAACTTGCAGTGGTCATTGCATGTGGACTCCGCTCACTTGAATTATTTGTATTTTATATATCAACGAGGACAAAAGAAGTCTTTGTCCTCTAGAAACATTATTATAGATGCAAAGTTATAATAGAACGACGTCTTGATATTTATAAAAGATAATTTTATTCTTTGTAGTATGCTTTTTAAAAATCATCAAAATTTATTTTAATAAAAGATAGACGATATTGAGTAGGAATGTTAAATAGGCGGGTAAGATTAAAATTGAATCTATTAAAATGGATTAAAATTTGAATGAATTGTAATTAAATTCAATTCAAAATTATCTTGAGTTAAAATCTCAAAATTCGAATTTAGTGAGTTAGCTACAGTTGAGCTCATTTTAACATCCATAATGTTTGAAGTTAAAAATGAAAAAGGAGATTATTTGTGTCGCATTCGTCGTTTGATCAATCAATTATAAAATTATTCAACAGCAAATATGATATACTTGATCCTATTAATACTGATTATGGACTTTTGAAAATTATTTTAAAACTTAAAGCAAAATATTTAAAAAATTGGTTAAACTATGACACCATCTTACAAGACCAATGTTTATACAAAGAAAGAAAGGGCGAAAGAATCTTCTTATTTTTGGTAATCTAATAAGCATTTTAAACAAACTTAGTCCAAATTACTTTCTTTGTTATTTTTATTTAAATATAAACAATACGTGGATATATTAGGAGAAATAAGTATTTCTAAAAATGAAGGGAAAACATAATTCTGTGGATAGAAGTTAATCTTATTTATTTAATTGCCACAGACTATCGCTCTTAAAAGTAGCATTCACAGCACTTGGGTAGGAAATAGTAGCATTCACCAACCTTCTGTTGCAACTTAGCTTTTAGCGATGGCGGAAATAGTATATGATTTTTTCCCATTTATGAGAGTTTACAAAGACGGTCGAATCGAAAGGCTGATGGGCGAAGGTTTTGTCCCACCAGAATCAGATCCTGAAACCGGAGTACAAATCAAAGACGTTCAAATTGATCCACAAATTAACCTATCAGCAAGACTTTACCTGCCCAAACATGTGGACACTGTTGAGAAAATTCCTCTTTTTGTCTACTTTCACGGCGGTGGTTTTCTGATCGAATCTGCTTATTCACCTTCATATCACAAGCATATAAGCAAAGTAGCAGCTGAAGCAAAAGTAGTTATTGTTTCTGTTAACTACAGGTTAGCTCCTGAGTACCTTTTACCCATAGCTTATGAAGATTCCTGGCTAGCTCTCAAATGGGTCGCTTCACATGCCAATGGTGATGATGGTCATGAGCCATGGCTAAAAGACCATGCCGATTTCAATCGCCTCTTTTTGGGGGGAGATAGTGCGGGTGGTAACATTGCACACCATATAGCCATTCGGGTGGGGTTGGAAAAGTTGGATGGAATGAAACTTAAAGGGATTTTCCTTGCCTGTCCATTTTTCTGGGGGAAGGATCCTATTGACGGTGAGGGAGAAAAATTAGTTGTCATTGAGAAGCTATGGTTGTTCGTGAATCCGAATAGCTCGGGATTAGATGACCCGTTGATTAACCCGGTAAAGGATCCGAATTTGTCTAGCTTAGGATGTGATAAAGTAGTTGTGTATGTGGCCGGAAAAGATGTGTTGAGATTCAGGGGACTTTACTATAAGGAGGTGTTGGAGAAGAGTGGGTGGCCGGGGACGGTGGAGGTTGTGGAGGTTAAAGATGAGGCACATGTGTTTTACCTGTCTGCTACAGAAACTGAAAATGCCATGGCCATGATGAAAAAATTGGCCTCTTTCCTTAATCAGTCCTAGGCCTAGTCATGGTAATTGGGTACGCACGTGTTGAAGAAGAAGAAAACTTACTATTGAAATATGTATGTCAAAGGAACAGGTCAAACAAAACTAATTTTGAAGAGTTTACGGCAGTGCTGCCTATCTCACGTACTATTTTAATGAATAAAAAATGAATGTAATTTCTCACAGTAAATCTTTTTCTTAATATATTTCTCAATCTGCAGCCTACTCTTTTAGTTGAAATAGGTTGACTAAACGGATGGACTAAATGTAAGTTGGTAAATATTTCTATCTGCAAATATCAGATGTGGGCATTCACACTGTTCAAATTGAATATGAAAATTTGATTTGAGTTTTTTATTTTTGTATTGAAGAAATTACCGTTTTTCAAATTCAATTAACCTTGCAATTGATTGGAGTTTTAAGGTTTCATTTAAAACTAATCAATTTTGACATTGTGAATTTAAATTTTTGAGCCTTTAATACAAGTGTGACAATAAACAAGCTCAATTCCCTTGATAGTTTACTGTTTGGAATGTATAACTTTTTACAGTTCACTTGAGGTCACTACACTCGTGCCGTGGGTTATACTGGTAGACTATTTTTTCACTTTTATCCACGTGATGTCGGAAATAAAATAGAATTATTTGATTTTAATTAATGAAATCATTTTGATGACATAGAATACTATTTGACTCTTAAAAATAAATTTTATTACCAAGTTGTTGGTTTTAAAAGTAGATCTATCTCACAGAACTTGTTTATAGTAACACCAACCTTTTCTGGTAACTTAGCTTTCAGTGATGGCGGAAATAGAACATGACCTTTCCCCACTGATTAGAGTTTACAGAGATGGTCGAATCGAGAGGATGATGGGTGAAGGTTTTGTCCCACCTGAATCGGATCCTGAAACCGGAGTACAGATCAAAGACATTGAAATTGATCCACAAATTAACCTATCAGCGAGACTTTACCTGCCCAAAAATGTCGACCCGGTTCAGAAAATCCCCCTTTTCGTCTACTTTCACGGCGGCGCTTTTGTAATCGAATCTGCTTCTTCACCTACCTATCACAAGCATCTAAGCATGGTAGCAGCTGAAGCAAAAGTCATCATTGTCTCTATTAACTACAGGTTAGCTCCTGAGTACCCGTTGCCCATAGCATATGAAGATTCATGGATAGCTCTCAAATGGATCGCTTCACATGCTAATGGTGATGGTGATGAACCATGGCTAAAAGACCATGCCAATTTCAATCGCGTCTATTTTGGGGGAGATAGTGCGGGTGGTAACATCGCACACCATATGGCCATTCGGGTCGGGTTGGAAAAGTTGGAGGGTGTGAAACTTGATGGGATTTTCCTTGCCTGTCCATATTTCTGGGGGAAGGATCTGATTGACGGTGAGGGAGAAAACTTGTTTGTCAAGGATTTTATTGATAAGCTATGGCTGTTTGCGAATCCCAACGGCTCGGGATTAGATGACCCAATGATTAACCCGGAAAAGGATCCGAAATTGTGTAGCTTAGGGTGTGAGAAAGTAGTTGTGTATGTGGCCGGAAAAGATGCATTGAGACTCAGGGGATTATACTATAAGGAGGCGTTGGAGAAGAGTGGGTGGCCGGGGACGGTGGAAGTTGTGGAAGTTAAAGATGAGGAACATGTTTTTCACCTGTTTGCTCCTGAAGCTGAAAATGCCATGGCCATGTTGAAAAAATTGGTCTCTTTCCTTAATCAGTCTTAGGCCTTCTAATCATGGAATTGAGTACTATTTTTATGAATTAATTGGATGTAATTGTTAAAAAATTTCTTTTTATTGAATAAATGTTGGATCATTTAGAAAGATCTTGTGGTAGCTTATTACACTATGTTGTTAATTTTTGTTTATTGAAATCTCAAGTTCAAATAAAATTCTAACTTGATTTCATATTGCTTATTAGAAGATCATGTCTAAATAATCATATTTCAACTTGTGATCAATCCCTAAATACCGATAGAAAAAAAATAAGGCATAATAGTTATTTTTTATATAACAAGATTATTAGTTATTCGTTGGATTTCTTTGTGATATTTCACTTGAATCATTAATTTTCTATCATAGTTTCTCCCTTATTCGTATAAATTATAATACTCCTTCCGTTCAAATTAATTGATTATCTTACTAAAAATGTTTGTCTCATATTAGTTGATCACCTTACTAAATAAAAAAAATATTAGTCAAAATTTTTCTATATTACCCTAGCAATTATTTCATTTGAAAGTGTTCATACTTATTTGTAAAATTTCCAAGAAGTTTTTTAAAGAGGTGAATAAGTTAAATTATTTTCTTATTTATGTCATAGCTAATGTTAAGGGAAATTCTAATTTGCAACTACAGGTTTGCCCAATCTTGCTAAGCCTGGTTTGTATAATTCACATGATTGTATAATATTGTTCTTGACTGCATAAATTTAAAATTTTGAATATGCTTACCTTAGTTATTTGTATATGATTTATGAAAAAATTATAATAAAGTACCTCGTTTGTATTTTGACAAGTGAAATATACAAATAGATAGAAATATATTTTTGCAACTTTTATAGCAAATTAAATTATAGTTATGAAACACAATCATCAAAACTATAGCTATAAAGCATAATTATATCTATTATGTTTGCTATTTCGAAAATCTTTCTCTTTATGATATATACTTAAAATATAAGAGAAAAGTTGTTGCTCACATAATTTCATTAAAGTTTGAGTGGGATATCCTTAAAAAACATGAAAATTTAAGAGAATACATAGAATAACCATATGATCATTTAAATCATTTTAGAAATTATTTCAAAAATTGACATGAAACCATTACAATCTTTTCTAATATTTGAAAGAACTTAAGCATCTGATTCAAAATCTTAAAATAATGAACAAGTTATCTTAAAACATGGTCTAAAACCCATATGAAAATCTTCATAACAGAGGAGAGACGTACATAATTATTGGATTACGAAATAATAATATTAAATTATGTTAATCATGGCGCTATTTATCGGAGAAAGTGGTCATAATTCATATGAGGACACTTTTTTATGAATAGAAAATGGTTATTATTCCTTGAAATCATCTATATTCTTATAACTTATTACTTCACTATCTTTTAATTGGATATGAAAATGTTTGTATAGTATATGAAAAAGTAGAATTATTATTGAAAAAATGAAAAGGGCCTAAAATACGTTCGAACTATTGGAAATGGTATAAAATACTCTTCATCCACCTATTGATTTTAAAATGCCCTTTTCGCCACGTATTGACTTCAAAATATTCTTGTCATCCACCTTTGAGTTCAAAATTGACCACTTGTTTAAGGATTCAAATTTAAACCATTTGAATAATTTTTTAAAATACTTGGCGCTCAACAATTTGATATAATTTAATTTATTAATATCATTTATAAATCAACTTCTACCCATCCATTACTAATTAAACCCCACCCAATTAATAAATCAACTCTAATATCAAAATCGCCCTAAACACTATTAAAAGGCACGACGAAATTACAGATTCCTAAAAATGATATTCAAAATTATTCGAGTTTGAATTGAAAGTTCAATTAAATTTAGCTTGAACCACTTATTTAGGAAGATACTTTCAATATGATTCTCTTTCAAGCTTAAATTCGAATTTTATGATTAAAGATAAAGAAATAGTACATCCCGAATTAATTCATGCATTTTTTAAATATAATTTAATAAATATTTATTATTTGTTTTAAATATTAAAACTTTAATACATTCTTTTTAAAAAAGTTATCTATTAAGTAACATCACATAATTGAGACGAGTGAATAATTAAGATGAACATAGTCAGACTTTTAAGTTTATTGATAATTTTTAATTAGACACTTGAATTATAATATGTTTTGATTGAGGACTTCTATGTATGATAATCTACTTCTATAGACATTTTTGCCTCAAAATTTTAGTATTAGCTGTAGTTTTTTTGTTGTTGCATTAGTAATGAGTCGGGTTTATTAATTGGGTGTGATTTAATTAGTAATTGTGAGTCGGGTTTATTAATTGCGTGTGATTTAATTAGTAATTATGGGTAGTAGATTGATTTATAAATTATATTAATAAGTTAAATTATAACAAATAGTTGAGAGTCATGTATTAAAAAATATTTAAATAGTTTAAATTTAAAATCGTTAAATAAGTGGCCAATTTTGAACCCAAAGATGGATGACAACGGTATTTTAGAGTCAATAGGTGGATGAGAAGGGTATTTTGGAATCAATAGGTGGATGGAAGATAATTTTGTACCATTTCTAATACTTCAAAAATATTTTAGGCCGTTGAAAAAAAGAGATCTTTTTAATTTATTTATTTTGAAATGTGTTTTTTGTTTTTGTGGAGTTTGTTGAGGGACTCCATAACTTGTTCAAATTTTGTTTGAACAAGTAATAGCACAAATAAATGCAAATGGCCATAAAAACTATCAAAATTAAATTATTAGTTACTTTAAGTAAACATGTTGATGTTGACCCCAAACTAGGAAAAAAAGGATTTGGACATTCAATTCAAAATGTGTTATAAAATCAAGCTAATAAGAATATAATTATAAAGAGAAGAAGACAAGAAAAGTAGATAGAAGAAAGGGAATTTTCTTCTTATTCAAGTGTGTACTTCAAATGGTGAGTAATGTCTCTATTTATAGTGTTGAAATATCACTCCCAAAGATAACCAAATTAATAGATACATATTTGTCCATAATGGATCATATCACCTTGAAAATATACATACATGAATACAAGTAAATCATGAATATCCAATGGACAATCCACTTAATTAGTTCAATGGATTTGTAACACTTCCCCTTGGATGTCCATAGATAATGTGTCTCGTTAAAACCTTATTTAAAAAAAACCTGTGGAAAAAAATTTCTAGTTAAGGAAAAAGAGTACACATCTTTTGATACGCACTATTTGTTGCCTCATTAAAAACCTTGTGAGAAAACCCAGTGGGAAAAAACCTCGGTCAAGGAAAAAAAAGTGCAACACGTATTATACTCCCCTTGATTAAAACATCACTTAATTTCTTGTGATGATGTCTCCAATCTTCGTACATTGTGGTTGGTATATTATTTTTCAAAGAAAAACCACAACCCTTATAGGCAAGAACAATTTCTTTCTTTTGCCCTTTCGGTAGTTCACAATAAACATACCATAGTGACGTATAAAACGTACAATACAATTAGCCATTTCTGCCAAATACAATTTATTTCCTCTCAAATCTCCCGTAGAGATGAGAAGTGACATATATCATTTTTTCTCAAACCTTCCATAAGGTGAGTTGTGGCATATATCCAACCTATAATGATTTTATCACATCTTGATCCATCTCTTATAAAATGGTCCAGCATTCACGATACTCATCACAAGTCACATTCTCTTGAAGGAATGGACTAATTATTTGTATGTGCTTCATAAATTTGCATTATAAGCACATTGTCATGGCTTTAAAATTCATCATATTTCCATGACACACCTCAACATCACTTTGAAAGATCAAGTGTACCATCACTTTATCTTCTTGTATCATGATAAAGGATTTATAAACTTGTCAAATTATTAGGTTGACAACATTCACAAGTCTAATGACCTTTCATACAATTTTGATAATAAAAATTGTCTTCACATTTTGAAGGACTATTTGAAGAACTCATAGTGTTCTTCCTTTTATCATTACTACAATGATAACTACTATAATTTTGTCCCTCCACGCCCTTATTCATATCATTAATTATTTGTCATCTTTCAGACTAATCATTCACTCCTACCATATTCATATGATTGGATGGAGCAAGTCAACAGACAGATTTCAGAGTTATCACATGTTGCTACCACATTCTTTTCAAGGAATGGAGCAAATTTAATATGATGAATTTCAAGACATTTCATCAAAAATATATTATTTTTCTTAGTTATCATTTTATCATCGCTATGGTGCATTGACTCAAACTCAATGTCTTACCCATATAAGGCGTGTTACGCCATAATTCTATGGGACTTGAACCAAATCACGGTGCATCAAAACTCTAATTGATGTCTTACATCTTATCCTCAAATATTTTTCATTACGGTGCATCCGGACTTTAACATGATGTCTTACCCTTTTGGTGCAATGAAACTTGAATCCGTCGTCTTACCCTTAACCAACGGTATAATAACGAAGTACAACATGATTTATTCTTTGAGTCTTTCACAACAATCAAAATAATATTCAAACTCATGCTATTAAAATTTTATACCTTCTTCTATTTAAGAAGTTTTGTATAGCATGTCATATTCAACCAATAGTAGTATATGTCTTCGGTTCCTGATAATTGTTAGTGACTGAATACTATTTTATTCTAAATCATAAAATATTTTAGAAAATACATACTTGATTTTATGCATATAATACTTTGATATTCATAACGAGATCAACCAAAATATAAGCTAAAGAAAAACACGAACTCACTCTCAATTAGACAGAGACTCGTGCTGATAACGTGCTATAAAATTAAGCTCATAAAAATATAATCATAAAGAAAATAAGACAAGAGAAGTAGGATTTTTCTTCTTATTCAATTGTGTACTTCAAAAGGTGAGTGATGTCTCTATTTATAGTGTTGAGATATCACTCCCAAAGATCACGAAATTAATAGATACATCACCTTGGAAATATACATACATGAATACAAATAATTCATGAATATCCGATGGACAATCCACTTAATTAGTTCAATGGATTTGTAGCAAAATGCATATAATTAATTAAAGGAGGCAAATTTTAAAACGAAGCAAACTCTTGGTTATAAAAGCGAGTGTCACAGCACTAGTTTATATATAGTACCAACCTTCTCTTCCTTGTAACTTACCTTTTAGCAATGGCGGAAATAGTACATGATTTTTTCCCATTGATGAGAGTTTACAAAGATGGTCGAATCGAGAGGCTGGCCGGCGAAGGTTTTGTCCCACCTGAATCTGATCCTGAAACCGGAGTACAAATCAAGGACGTTCAAATTGATCCACAAATTAACCTATCAGCAAGACTTTACCTGCCCAAAAATGTCGACCCGGTTCAGAAAATTCCCCTTTTCGTCTACTTTCACGGCGGCGGCTTTGTTATCGAATCTGCTTTTTCTCCTACCTATCACAAATATCTTAGCCTGGTAGCAGCTGAAGCAAAAGTCGCGATCGTCTCTGTTAACTACAGGTTAGCTCCTGAGTACCCTTTACCCATAGCTTATGAAGATTCATGGCTAGCTCTCAAATGGGTCACTTCACATGCCAATGGTGATGGTCGTGAACCATGGCTAAAAGACTATGCCGATTTCAATCGTGTCTTTTTAGGCGGAGATAGCGCGGGTGGTAACATCGCACACCATATAGGAATTCGATTAGGGTTGGAAAAGTTTGAGGGTGTGAAAATTGATGGGATTTTCCTTGCGTGTCCATATTTCTGGGGAAAGGATCGTATTGAGGGTGAGGGAGAAAACTTGCTTGCCAAGGATTTCGTTGAGGACCTTGTGTTGATTGGTAATCCCAATAGCACGGGGTTAGATAAGGATCCTATTGACTTAGGTTCCAAGGATCTCTTTGAGAAGCTATGGTTGTTTGTGAATCCCACCAGCTCTGGATTAGATGATCCGTTGATTAACCCGGAAAAGGATCCGAAATTGTCTGGGTTAGGGTGTGATAAATTAGTTGTGTATGTGGCCGGAAAAGATCCGTTGAGATTCAGGGGATTTTACTACAAGGAGGTGTTGGAGAAGAGTGGGTGGCCGGGGACGGTGGAGGTTGTGGAAGTTAAAGGCAAGGGACATGTGTTTCACCTCTTTGTTCCTGAAGCTGAAGAAGCCATAGCCATGTTGAAAAAATTGGCCTCTTTCCTTAATCAGTCATAGGACCCAGTCATTTATAATCTTGTTTGTCATGGAAATTCAACTATATAATAAGGCATCATGTGCTTAGCAAATGAATTAAGTACTATTTTTAATTAGACGTAATTGTGTTTTTGTTGCTTAAAACCTTAAAAGTGATTAATAAAATATCTTAAAAGTCTTGTGAAAGAAGTCTTCATTACTAACAGGGACGTGCATAATTGTGATCGCTATTGTGCATAATTATTAAGTTACACAATAATAATAACTTTATTCTGCCTCGTTTAATATTTTTTCAAACATTTGCCTAACCCAACTTTTTAATATGTTTTACAAATATTTTAAATTGATAATTTTCAATGATATAACCTATAAACAAAATTAATGTGACGTCTTTATATTAGTTGCTTATTTTAGTATATTTTTAAGAATATTTTAAAGAACCTCTATTTAACAAATTATATGAGACAACTAAGGAGTACTAAATAAATAAACTATGGGCAAAAGTTTAAGCTAAAGGCCAAATTGGTCTAACACCGAATCAAGTTGGGAACTATACAACAAAATAGCCATGGCAAATTTCGGAAAAGCCTTTTTTCACAGCTCCTCTAATTCTCACTTCTAATTTATAGAGGCCTAAGCGACATTAGTTCGTTCGCATGAACACATGTTTTTCTCCTGAAATCACATATAATAGTATTATATTTTTTTAGAGTAATCTTTTGTTAAATATAAATATGTGAATTCGTGATTAAAGTGTCATATAATGTGATGATGATTGAGTGGATTAGACTTTTGAATTTTATAACTATTTTGTATTATTTTTCTTTGAAAAATTGAATAACACCTCTCTAAATGGTTATTCGTAGCACTTTTGACGTTTTAATTAATTAATCATTCTGATTTTGTATCTACAATCTTAAAAGTTTCACTATTTTTAATGGTACAAACTTAAATATCAAATGAATTAAATCCATTTTTTCATAGCAGAGCACCCATCATCTGAATACGTCTATGCTTTTAGGTAAGTACTCCATATTCTTGCAGAAGATAACATCTTAGAATACATACAAGATGCAACAAATTGGCTTATAGCGTTTAAAGAAATTGTCTACTTTATTTTAATATTTAAGTTTGAAAAATTATCACCATTATTTTTCCTACCCCATTAAATTATTTCATATAATGAGTTTTGTCCATACCTTGTTCTGTTCTATTGTCATTTCTATTCCTTAAAATTGATAATTTATAAACTTATTACTTTACAATCTTTATATGATAGAGCAAATGAAAAAGTGAGGTTAATATTGAGAAATGAAGTTTTGAAATTCAATAACTTAGGTCATAGTATTGAGTTGTTGCATTACAAAAGAACCAAGTGAACATGAGTATTGCTGGACTACTCAAGATTTTATTTTAGTGGCTTGATTTTTCTTATTAAAAGTGAAAAATTTACGATTTAATCTAAGTATATTTATTTTTCAATTATAATTGTATTTTTCTATTGAAAATAACATTCGATTCTTTTTATAACTCATTCAATTGGATTAAATAATCTTTTGTCTTTTTGCTATTTTTTGAAATAAAGAGATTGAAAATTTATGGTGAACAGATATTAAGCTGAATATGTTATGTTAGTGATTCAAATGAAATTGAATCTCTTTTCAGGTTATTGCAGTACTCGTACAATATGTTATAAAATCTGATTTTCATTTGCAGGTTGCTGATTTTTCCCATGGAACATGTTTTCATGATTTAACTTTTAAAAAAATAAAATATATCCTAAAACGTTACTGTGGAATACGTTTATACTAGTTTTGTAAAATTTTAAAAAAACATATTATTTTGATGAATGACTTTATATAATGGCTTAGTTTAGTTAAAACATTTCGACGCGTGGATCTATTGCTTTAGTAATAAGTAATTAGGGAAGTCGACTATATATGTGACTTTTTCTTAAAAAACAGTAACCTAAGCTACTAACTTTTTAAATTCAAATCTGGCCATGTCTCCTCAAGATATTGATTAGTTACATTGATCTTTGTAAACCTTGTTAAGTACATAACGTTAAATATGAAGAATTATAGAGGATATGATTTCTTATCACCATTTTCAATATTTAATACTTCCCTTCTCATACGTGTAAGATTTCTTATCACCATTTCCAAAAGTTCTATTCCTGAACAGTACATCGTCTTTAAAATAATTTTTTACTAGACTAACTAAATTTAGATACACTAATACGTGGTTTTAAACACTTGTAGGGCGTGAGACTCTTAATAAAAAGTCAAGAGAAGTGCTGAAAATATCCCTAAACTTGACGAGATTTAGGGTGTATTTCACTCTTGTTACAAAATCGGAGTGTACTAAAGTTCAATTAGTCGAATAAAAAAATGATTTTAACCCGATCATTAGTTAAGAGTTGAAACTAATAATTCATGCCAAATTTAAAAGTGTTTCTATTACTTCTTTTAAAATTTACTTCTCTTAAGATTAAATTTGTGAAAGACTACAAAATTAAATTCTTTTCTTTTTTCCAAATAATCTCTTGACCATTTAAATAGAGAAAAAAAATGAGCTTTTCATATTTCTAATAATAAAATTAAAATCAAATTTGCAATGCTAAAGAAACAAATGTCTCAAAAGTTAAAAAAAACTTGAGAAAATGCCAAATATCAAAATATGTCTATATTCAATGTAGCCATTCAGTCTTATCGCTATATACTAGTTTTGGAAATGTGCCTTGCACGTTTGATCTCTGTTACTGTTATAATTTATATAAGTCCAAGATATAAATTGCTCGACATTATCTGATGTACTCCTATATGTCTTTTTGTGCATATAAAATAATTTTTTTTTAGTGTTTACTTTTTTCCTATAACTTAAATATCAACAAATTTTTTGGTGGATGATGAGCAACTTGGAAGACTAGAACTAAGCCCCAAGGCTGAAATTTTTTGGGATATAAATACTCTAACAATCATTAAAAATAAAAAAATGAATGAAGGACACAAACCAATAAGAAAAATAGTGACCAATAAAAAAATATTACAAGAACTATTAGATTATGTGTTTCTCCAACAACCATGAAAATAAAAAATGAACGAAAGCACAAATCAATAAGAAAAATATTGGCCAATAAATACTCCTTACAGAAAAACTATTAGATGATGAAAACAAAGTGTGGTGGATTAATATTATCCAATTTATAAAGGGAGAAATTAAGTACATGAAAGGTTTGTGCATGAATGTGTTTAGGGGTTGTTTGGTAGGCTGTATTAAAAGAAATAATCCATGTATTAGATATGGTATAATTTAATATTGTGTTTGGTAAGAATGTGATCCTATGTATAACTAATCCATGGATTAGTTAATACATCCTACATGGTATTATGTGATGTATTACTAATACCTTCCATTTGGAGGTATTAACTCTAATACCATAGGACTATTCAAGGTAAAGACAAAAATACCCCTCAAATCCTTTTAATATCTTATTTATTTTTTTGATTTTATATTTTATATTTTATATTTATACTAATAAAGTTATTTAAATAAATTAGCTTACAATTTCATTTTTTGATATAATTTTTTGTTTCTAAAATATGAATTACTTAATCTATTTATTATTAATATAAAATATTATAATCCGACTAATATGTTAATGTTGATGTATAAATTTAAGAACAATTCATAAGTAAAATATTATCTCTTAATGAAAGTTCATTAAACATTACACAAGTAGTCTAAAACAAGAGTGTGTGTATATATATATATATATATACACACACACACATCTCGAGTATAAATATAGTTTAATTTATTTTATATTTTTATCTTATTTTATGATAAAGAGTTTTTTAAAATTTATTGATACAAAACAAAGTTCAATAAATTTTCTCTATAATCATTATAGTTGTGTGACCTTTTAAGTTATTAACTCTAATTTATTAAGATGAGAATTATTTACTCTCAAATAATTTAAGTGAGAAAATGGTGAACATGACAATAAAAATTTTATTCTCCTAACTAGTTAAAAATGTTATAAAAAAATAATATTCTTCGTTAATTATCTACTTTAACTCAATTACATGAAATACAAAATCTCATAATAACTCTAGGGTATAATTAGAAAGTTTTTTTTTGTTTGAAACTTTTAAACCACACACAAAATTAGATAAGAAACAATGAACCAAACACTTGATAAAAATAATTCTTGCATTGCTAATCCCTGCATTACTAATCCCTGCATTATTCATTTTTGTACCAAACGATCCCTATCTTAGCCAGCTTTATTCTGCCTCGTTTAATATTTTTTCAAAAATTTACCCTAACCCAACTTATTCATATGTTTAAGAAGTATTTTAAATTGTTAATTTTAATGTAATTTTTAATTAATATATGTTACTCTTTATGTCTCAATTTTCATTACATATGTGAAATTTTAAACTCAATTAATTCTTTTAATATATTTTTTAAATGTCTTAATTAGTTATTTATTATTGTGATTTTCAATGATATAACCTATAAAACAAAATTAATGTGACGTCTTTATATTAGTTGCTTATTTAAGTATATTTTTAAGAACCTCTATTTAACAAATTATATGAGACAACTAAGGAGTACTGAATAAATAAAATAATGGGCAAAAGTTTAGCTAAAGGCCAAATTGGTCAACACCGAATCAAGTTGGGAACTATACAACAAAATAGCTATGGCAAATTTCGGAAAAGCCTTTTCCACAGCTCCTCTAATTCTCACTTCTAATTTATAGAGGCCTAAGCAAGATGAGTTCACTCATATGAACATATGTTTTTCTCCTAAAATCATATATAATAATATTAGATTTTTTTAAAATAATTTTTTGTTAAATATAAATATGTGAATCTATAATTGAAATATCATATAATGTGATGATAATTGAGTGGATCGCTATGAGAGCTTAGGCTTTTGAATTTTATAACTATTTTATATTATTTTTCTTTGTAAGATTGAATAACACCTCTCTAAATGATTATTGGTAGTTAATTAAACATTTTAATTTTGTATCTATAAGTTTTACTGTTTTTAAAATTCTGAATACGCCTGTACTTTT